AATGAAAGAAACCTCAAATCAAGCACTTACTTATTCAGTGTGAGGTCTAGGATGAATTTGGAGCCAAAGGCCTCAATCTGGAAACTTGCCTGGGCCAGATGTACAGCCTGCAAACATGAACACACAGTTGTCAAAAGATTCACTGAGGTTTATATGCAACAAATGTGACAGTGAAATACAAAGTTATGGAAAACATGCTTTATTTTCATGACTCTCATAGGCATATGAAAACCTTTGCCCTTGTACCAAATTCGGATTCAAAAGGACTTTCCTTTTTATTGGGCAGAGGGAAGCAAATGGTACGTGAAAAGCATGCTTTCAAATACACACTCATTCCTCACCAAAAAAAAGAAAAAAAAAAGAAAGAAACAAGTTTCACACAAATGTCTGTATTTTGCCATAACCAGATGGCTATGTAACAACAGCATAACTAATGTAGTATACCGTTCCTTTAATTAAGTTACTGCATTTGTTCCCTTTAAAAGGCCTGAAATAATTCAAGCATTTGTAATACACATTTTCAAATATGAAAATCATGGCATGGCTTTTATTACACATTATGAAAGACTTCTTCAAAGCCATCCCTCACAATCAATGGCTTTGTACTTGGCACTGTAGCTAAGCCAGTATACACAATACTGATGCTGCTCAACATTAGCTTGTCTTGCATAGGAAGTTAACTTTAGCTTTCATGACATTCAATTGTTGTCAGATATATAAACTGCATTCTTTATTCTCCTCTGTACTGTTGTAACTGTAGCCAAAGATATTTAAAACATGCTTATCTGTTCTCTAGAAAAATACATAGAAGATAAGAGATGATCTAAGGATTTCTTTCTGTGAAGATACTGATTCAGCAGGGTTGAAGAGATAATAATATAATCTTTCTTGATAATGTTCTAATCAAATCATGCTTACTTATACACTAATTTGATACAGTATTAATAATTACACAAAGTTGGAATATGATGACAAACCCTTTAATCGAAATACAAAAAAAATACTATTTTTTATTAAACACCAGAATTAATCTTCAGGTATATTACAGAAACTGTATCAAGTTCTAGCTAGGTATGGCATAACTTAAAAAGTATGAAGGTTAGCTTTTACTGCCTGCAAACCCTACAATTCTTTTCTCCTTTGGAATTTTTTCCACAAAGAAGCTCTTTATGTTCATAAGGCTCTTCCATTCTTGCACTACACAGAGCAGCACTGATTTCCATCTTCTTTCTCAGCAAAGTTACCCATCGTCTTTCAAAAAATAATGTAATTCTAAAAAACTATTTCTAAAAGTTGTTATTGTGACTAAAATCAGATGTGATGTTTCCAGTCTTACTTTATCATTCTTTGCCCCCAGAATTATAATTTCCCTTTCAACAGGGTCACAGAGTTTGTCAAGCTTCTTTAAAAGAAGAAAAAAATCATGTAGATACAAAATATTTTAAATACCTTTAATATCACCAAATAATCTCTTAACTAAAGCTTGGGGTTTATTTATTAAAAAACACAATAACTTTAAGCAAGAATGTAAAAAATAATATTCCTAGCTGATACATAAAATAATAAGGAAGCAAACCAGTATCAAGTTTAGCCTCTGTAATATTTTTTTGGTAAATGTATGTTGTTGCCTTACCAGTTCACCAATTCACTAACACTGGCCTGGCAAACTGCATTTACAGCTGTTCTGAATCACCAGAGTGAAACAGTTTGTACAAACAGGTGCATGATCAAGAGAGAATCTGCAAGGATGAAAGCTAGCAAGTACATTACAAAAAAAAAAAAAGGAAAAAGAAGAGAATCTCAGGTTAAATGCCTAGCAGGAGAGGCTTTTCAGTCCCAGCTCCACCTTTGCAGAGTGAAATCAAGGAGCAAGCATCACAAGGAACTTTCCAGGCACCTTTTCATGACAAAAACCTCATTTGGTTTTCGACATGCACATGTATTCATTTAATTTTATAATAAAAAGCCTGAAAACTTGGTGCAGGAGAAGAGTTGGAATTAGTTTTATGTCATAAAGATTCCACTAAAGAGTCACAGGAGCTACTGCTTTGACTGTTCTCCCCATGTAACATTTACCTAAAAGGATGTCTTCATATACGTACCACGAACAAGACTTCAATATTAACTATCTGGAAAATCTAAAAGAGCATGTCTTTTTCATTCTGAAAAATTAGAAATGAGAACTACATAATTTCTTAAAGTACCTCATTTTTATTATGTTT